GAGAGAGAGGAGGAGGAGGGAGGGAGGGAGAGAGAGAGAGAGAGAGAGAAGAGAGAGAGAGAGGAAGCACCAACACCTACGCGGAATATCCGCTATGCGAATGCACACCAACTTTTCGGCAATGGGGATGAGTCGGGAGTGGGAAGGATGGCCGGTCGGTTTGGGGCGGTCGAAAATGGTGTTGGAGGACGTAGACATGTAGCGCGTACACCGTCGCGACGGAGGCTGCGGCTACGCGGCGCCTACCAACCACCATCTATAATCTCTATGCAGATATCGATTTTCTACCCTGTATTTCCTAAATTTATGCAAACTAGCAGCGCGCTATCCTTTCCGCCGCTCGTCGCTCGTATTGTCACTTTTTTTGTTTCCGTTACTCGGAAACTACAGTGGTATAACGGAGGATTTTTGCTTTGATAGATGCCTTTTAGTGCCTTCCTAGTTGTTCTTTCATTCAAATCGGGAATAATAACCGGGAATTGATTGCGTCTGAGATGATATTCCAAACCAAACAAAACAGATCCCGTACTTGTCGTAATCGCAGTCTTTTTAATTTTAATATTACGACTTTGGAGAACAAATCTCAACATATTTATCTCTTATCATCCGATTATCCGTTTCAATAAATAGCGATTGCGAAAATTATAAGAGCAAAAACATTTATCTTTACGTTTTTTTTCTCAGCAGCATATTTAAGTCATTTTTTAAATTCTTTTTGGCATTATAATCGATATTTTTTTCTAAATCTTTTCTGATTTTTAATTGAGATTTGAAAGAAATTAATTTTTTGCAGCTTTGATTGCTTGTAACTTTCAATAAAATTATGATTTTCTAAAACCGAACGATTACGTTATAATTCATTAATTAGAAGAAATTAAAAACATTCATAAGAATCAATCTAATAATTCTCGAGAAAAACACGAATGTTAAAAAAATATGATTTTACAGTAGAACATTTCAAATACTGTCAAATAATTGTTTTGATGCTGATTAGATTTACATGTTCGTCTCTATTTTAAAACGTTTAGAGAGAAATATTTAAAAATTATTTTAATTAATAACTAATTTAAAAATATATAGAAAGATGTGATCATTTTACAAAAAATTAAAAAGAATTTTTTAATCTGCATTTTCAGCTGCATATTCCCTTGTAACATATATTTTGTCCTTTAATTAGCAGATACAGTCAATTAAATAGTCTTATATTATATTATAGTGTCACAGAGTTAACTTTTATGCATTGTTGAGGTACATTTGAACTTAATATTTGAATCTGAACGAAATGATGCTTTCTTGTGCAGAAACTGTGATTTACGAGGATCTAAAAAGTTACAGGAGAAACTATGTATCGAGTCTATGTTACGTCTATATGAATGTCGCCAAAACAAATACGATTGTGAGTAAAAACGCTAAAAGAACTTTTTAGCGGATTTCGAAATTCGAATATTCGATATAACTAACGGCCGTTTAAACGAAAACTCTAAACTGTGAATTATCTGTGCTTACCGAAGTAAAATTCTCTAAGAAACACAAAGCGGTGACGTAAAACAAGTGTTGCTTCTAAAGTGAAAAGGCATGAAAGCACAGAACTGACAATAGAGTTGATGATTTCAATTTTTCACGTTTTTGGTGGTTCATATTTCGAGCAGAAAAGGCAGAAAAGGCGACATTCTTATCGTTGATGCTCGAGATGTAGTGATTTTTACAGCATTTTATGGAGAAATATTGCCTATAAAGAAATTACAGGGTTGCTTTGTTCGCTTTGTTCATAACATAGTAACGTAAAGGGTCGACAGATATGGTTTGGAAGTTTGCCAAATTAATAAATATATTTCCAGATTCTATTCCACTTGGAATTTTCTTCCTTCTATTCCAACCTATTCTTATCACTGAACGACTATTCAGCTTGAACTGATATTGTCTGCGTCCTCGAATGCGATGTTTTATTTCATGTTGATTTACATAAATATGGCATACTGATAGATTTCATCCTTCTCTCTATGTATTTTGTACAAATACATTCAACTTATAATAAAAATGTTTTTCATACATTATCATGAAAATAATTTTGGATATTTCTTTGTATATATATATATATATATATATATATATATATATATATATATACACACACACACACTGAGAAAAAAATGCTATTAAATCAACAGCATAGTCTAATTGGAAATATTTGTTAATTCAATGATTATGATCATTATTAATGAAACAGTATATCATGCTCTTGTTTTAATAATCAAGATCTTCGTTTCATTAATAATGTCATTGAATTAACAAAATTATAATATAAAATGAATTATTTAGGTTGTTTGTTATTTTTTATAGTTTTATTGGGAGAATTGAGTGGATTATAGTATGTTTTTATTATGGTTGTTAATGGAGCGGTGTGAATTTTAGTTGAAATATTATTTGATGGTTTAATTTAATAAAGTATATTGTTGTTGATAGGAGTATTTGTAATTATTTTTAGTTTAATTAGACTAATGCTGTCGATTCAACAGCATTTTTTCTCTGTATGTGTGTGTGTGTGTGTGTGTGTGTGATATGTGTATACTAATACTTAAGTTAAGAGAAGAACGAAGTGACGATAAATGAAGAAATAAGTGGAATATAAGAGCAATCGTGTGAAAATGGTGTGGCGCGGGCAGGGAGCCGCGCGAGAAAGACTTCGCGTCGCGCGCCTTCATGCGCGCAGGGATAGCACATGTACGCATGTCACGGTGTTATACGCTCTCGGTACAATTTCCGTGAACGCGGCTCTTCTTCGCATTTGGCATACCTGATATCGAGTATGCACGCAGGAGTATGCACCGTAAGCGCGCGGCGCTTTCTCTAGCGAGGAGCGAATCGCGCGAATGCACCTCTTATCCGCTTTATTCGCGAGTGCGCATGAGGCCGCGTGCTTGCAAGAACGTGCCTGACATTTTATCCGCGGAAATGTCGGAACGTCGATGCGTGACAGTTTCACAGATGTCAACTACTTTCAACTTTATTCTTCCTAACTACTCCGCGGCTGATGGGATCACCATTACGAGGTGAATGGCGAGTAATCGCCGTTTTATCGCCTATTATCTTTATTAATTGTACCCTTGCCAAGTTGCCACTTGCTATAAATTTTAATGCTCGCGTCAATCAGAGAGGGGGGGGGGGGTACTCATGAGCAATGTCGCCTTTTGATACGCAAAATTTTATTTCATTCAACATTTAGTATTAATTTACAAAATAATCTCCATCATTATTGATCATCTTTTTTTCATCTTTCTGGCAAATTTTCAATTACCTTCTTAAAAAAAAATTGAAGGCGCGCGTAAAAAAAAATGAGGATAATTTTGTAGCCAGGTATTCCAGATTTTGGTTCATCGGAAAGATCATCGTTTTTAAATTTTTTCAAACTGGAAAATGCGAACATAGGTAATGATTTTATTTTTGGAAATTTTCAATGTTTTTACCATCTGAAAGAAAAATCCTCGTGGAAAGATTTGAAAGATATTGATTCTCTGGTTTGAAAAATTTTTGTTTTTTCGAACAAGCGATTCGAATCTTCATGCTATGAAATTGTTGGGAAATTTTGAAAGGAAGGAATCGCGCGGCCATCGTTAAGGCCATTGCACGTGAAAACATTTTTAATGGTAATCGTAAGATCGTAAGCGAATTGACCAACTACGATCGATTATTTTTAGAGATTTTTCGTAAGGAGAATAATTGATTCTGATTGGTCAATTTGCTTATGATCTTACGATTAAAATTTTTTTCACGTTCAATGGTCCTTTAGTTGGAGCACGTTGGACTAAAGATCTTGCGCCTCCTGTTTGTACGAAGAGTATGTAGATACGTGTATGGTGTGTGTGTATGGTGTACACGCGTGGTAAAACGGGCTAGGCGAGATAGATCGCGCACGCAGTACTTCGATGCATTCCACGCACTTTCAATGCATTTCTCAGAGTTCTTATGCATGCGTGTATTTGCTATTCCGAGTGTGACGGGGTCGTACGCGTGCGTTGCATATCGCAGAATCGTAAGACGTCATTCTTTGAGATTGTCTCGCCTGAGGTATACGAACTTTACAAACTTAACAAAATTTTCAGATCGAATGTCACTGAGATACTTTCAAATCTACCCTCTCCCCTCCTCCCCCTCTCTCTTTTCTACGCGCTACACAAAAGATAAGAAATTTCTTGCTCTTAAAAAATTAAGCAGAACGAATGACGAATGTTTCTATTTATTTTATGTGATTTTAATGTTTCAATTATCAACAAAATTGCTCTTCAACTATCTATTGAGTATACACACGCAAATACTTTACGGAAAAGTAACGTATGATTATTGTTAATTACAGATTAGGTTATGTTAAGAAATGACCGCTTAAGAATGTGTATGCTGTTACTCTAATTATATATATTGCATAATTCTTTTTAGATTTACAATGAAAAAATTATGAAAAACTTACACATTATTCTAAATCATATTTAAAAGTAACACAAAAAAATTTAAGATCTGAATAAAAACAATTATTTCAATAAATAAGTAAAAGTATGCTCTAATAGAAATATAATTAAGAAATAATGACAAAATCTCAATTTATTTATTTAAATATTTTAAGTATTCAACATAATTTGTATAAAGTTTTATTGCAATGCGAAGGTCAGTGTTGTTCCATAAATAAAAATTCAATTTTATTTATATCATTCGTTTTGTACTTTTAATAAAGAATTTAATTTTTATTTACAAAACAACTAATCTCTGCATCGCAATGAAACTTTATGTAAATCGTCTTGAGTACTTAAAATACTTATAGGAAAAAATTGAGATTTTTGTCATTATTTTTTAATTATATCTTTAGTAAAGCATATTTCTACTATAAAGATATTTAAATAATTTTCAATTTAGATTTTTAAACCGTCATAAAATTTTTTGTATTATTTTTAAGTGTTTAATTTAGAATAATCTATGATTTTTCCATTATAAATAAAAAGTATAATAAGTATAATACATTTTTAATGACGATTGATAATAATATGATTGACACACCAATCATATTTACAATTTATGGCGTTCTTTTTCTTTCTGCAGAACGAGAAGTTGGAAGTAAAACAGAAATGGGCCTCGCGGCTTCTGGGAAAGTTACGGAAAGATATCACGCAAGAATATCGAGAGGATTTTGTGTTGAGTATTACAGGAAAGAGACCAGCGATGTGTGTTCTGAGCAATCCTGATCAAAAGGGCAAAATGCGTCGAATTGATTGTCTTCGTCAAGCGGATAAGGTTAATCAAGCTCGATCAAATTATATATACTTTCATAGATCCTTCATTAAATTAGGACCTATTTATTTGATCCTTTTGTTATTCAAATAATCCATATTTTATTAAACGGAATGAATAAAAAGCATTGCTATTTAGCAGTGAACTATGATCATAAAGAATATTTGATATTCTGCAATAGGTATGGAGATTGGATCTAGTCATGGTGATCCTTTTCAAAGCAATTCCATTGGAATCGACAGATGGAGAACGGCTGGAGAAAACTGTGGAATGTGCACAGCCGGGACTCTGCGTCAATCCTTATCACATCAATGTTTCCGTCCGGGAACTGGATCTCTATCTCGCCAATTTTATCACGAGTCATGGTAAGAAAGATTACAGTTGATAACCAGTAATCGAACATTGATCCGAAGAATATTTGAGTGTTAATTCGTTTGAGAATTTAGATTCGATGTAGGAAACGCGTAATTTGAGAAAAGAAGAATATAGTACTAGCATTTACATTAATAACTGCATTGCAAACATATATTTATTGCATATCTATATAAAACATGTATTATATACATAGCGACTACGCATCAAGTGTTTTCTTTTATTAGTATGCTCTTAAATCAAAGCACAGCTAGATTGAAAATTCATACTTCGGACTATCTGATTAAGGAGATTTTTTTTCCTTAAATTTTCCAAACAATTCATTAAACCGAAATGGCGTCGAATGGCAATGCGGAACGAGAAATGATGAACGTAGACACCTGTTTTTCTCATCTTTTCTCTCTTTGAACATTTTTATAAAAGACGATATAGATTTAGCAGTTTATTGAATCATTAATTTTCATTATAGATAAGCTTAGCTACAGATTCGATTGAATTTTCATCTATTGATATGAAATAAAAAAAAAATGACAGTATTGACAGTATTGTCAATATGAAGTTACCGCTAAATTATCTTTCATACATTTTTCTAACTTTTATAATATGAAATTGATCCAAATATAGTTTTGTTGAACAAATGTCGCAAGCAAAAAACGCACAAAATTTAAAATGTGATAAAACAATAGAATTCTCTGTCGCGAAAAGGGATTATTCTTCTGGTTTCTATGGAGTGCACCAAATATGTATCTGTATATTGTCAATGTTGTATAATATTTGTGTAGAGATGGTGTCTACACATATTCTGATATATATATATTATTACATGTTTGTGTGCGTGTCTTTCGTCTTATGTGCTGCGCATCGACGCGAGTGGTATGTCGAATGAAGATGTGGAGAAAATGTGCACGCAAGCGCGTGACCATGCTTGCCGCTGTATGCTCGCTCTATAAATAAATAGGCAACGGACATCTTTAGCGAGAGCTCACAGAGCTTCGCTTATATGTTGATTTTCTTTTATGCCACTGAAAATACTTGAATATTTTTGCACCTGTAAAAATTTGTTATAAGGATTCCCATTGATTTTTAAATGCCGAAGCGATGCAGCCATATTGTGATCGAGAAGAAATGTACTTGAACTAATCAGAAATTCGAGAAAAATCTTACAAATAAATTTCTAGTTGTTTAAGAGATGAAACGACAAACTCAAGGATCTATAATTTTCAATAATTATACGACTCGTAATATAAATATGAAACTTTTTTTTCTTGAGATAACTTTGACCAGGTTTTAAAAATATGTCTCGCGTTATCTTTTTACATATCTGGAATTTTTATAAATAGTTTCAAATTGATTGATTGGATCTGAACAATCTTTTAATCGTTAAATTAAAATCTTTTACAATTTTTTATACGCATTCTATCTCATATATAAAAAAGGAACGCAAAAATATTCTACTTTTTTTAAATATATATATACATATACACACAGCACAATTAGATATTTAGTTTTTTTACGCGTATTTTTTTGTTTAATTTATTTGCTACTTGTAACATCTGCAATAAAACTCTAGTTTCTATCGGCGCAGAAAGCAATTTTCCACACTTCTCGATCCTCGAGAAATCGCTGTACGTTCCGGACCCTCGAGTATTTCGGTGATACGTTGCGTAATGAGATTTGCGTAAAACGTGATGATCTTAAATGCCGTGCAACAGTGAAAATATTATTCAATAGACGAATGATTTTATGTAATTTTTTATTTGATCATTTTTATATTACAAATCGCTGAGTTTCGTGGCGATGAAATATTTAAATTCTGAAAAATAAAAAAACTAGAAAATAAGAGACGCGGAAGATAAGAATTATTACTTATTGCTTGTTGTCTCAAACAAATTATCTTTCATTAATTAAGGATATTTGTTCACATTTTTCTGTTATAGAAGTACTGAATGGCATCTGCAATGCTAGTAAAGAAGAGGACAGGCGTCGAAAAGGTACTCGCTTAATTTCGCGGTTTACTTGAGCGTAATCATATTTGTTAAGGAATTACGTATGCATTTACGTATGCTTTTAATTAATCCCTTTTTATATAATTTTTATATGCAGACTCGACACATATCCAAACTTGTATATACTGGCGCGTTTCATAATCTGATAGCTAAATTCGAGTGGATATTAAATATTGTTCGCTGGGTTTTGTTCCCAGGTACAGGGTACCATGAACTATATAACGGTGTCGTCTGCAATGATACGATCCTTGCGACAGGTGTCTTCAGCTCCAAAGAGCTCTGGATGCTTTCAAAAGGTACGACGTTACATTTCTCGTAGATTCGAACTCGAGGTTTGCCAGCAATTTGACTTTAACAATCTTAGGAACAAAGGCGATATACTCACGATAAATTATGTCAAAATTATGTACATGACGATTCCTTTATGGATGCTTTCGAAAGGTGATGAATAGCTCAATGCCAAAGACCTTTTGAAAGCATCCTGATAGTTGTGAATGTCGATATTTTGAAAAACATGTTTTATTATTATATTTATATAAAATGAGAAAGAGGGTATACTTTTTTGAGATATATCATAGATCTCAAGGTAAGTCTACGAGATTTGAATGCTGCTAAGGGTCATTACTCCTTTGGAAAGGTTATACGTGAGTTCTTGGTATGGATTCATCATTGGCAATCTCAATAATAACAAACGGTTCTGAATGGCAATACGCCATTCGTTGAAAACCGAGTGAGTCCAAAAACTATGGCGCTTCGCTCGAATAACTTGATTACATTTTATATTTAATTTTTTTTTTCTAGACACAATTGTTTTAAATCAATGATATAATTTCTTAATTATTTTTTATTATATATCGATTATCATATTTCTATTTTAATATACTAGAATTAGAATTATTTTAAATGTATCGTACATTTATTCTACGTACGCGCGTTTCATAATCTGATAGTTAAGAGAATCATTATTTTGCGAATATTTCTTTTCGAGCTTATCAGAAACAACGATTTAATTTCTTTTTCTATTTTCCCTCGTTTTTCTCTCGTCTTCTTTCTTTTTTTGCGCGGAAGCGTCGTATTCGCGATCGCGTTCGCGAAGTGCAAGGAAAACGAATGACACACGTACGAAAGTGCTAGGAACCGTAGCTGTTAATGTGTGTCTGGTTTCAGCATCCATACTGCATGACCTCAGCGACATGCAGCCTCAAATAAACGCGATCAAAATAGAGCACCCGCCGTACTACTGCAGCAGCTACACCCCACCATCCGCAGCCACGACCGCGGATCACGTTCAGCCGGCGGCTAGCTTCAGTGAGTTTCAAAATCTGCCTTTGCCCTTATTTTTAGTAGACAGAGTCGGGGTCGAGCGGCAGCCGCGGCAGCGTCCGTTATCCGTGTCTAAAGCTCGCTAAACTAGTTCACGTCGTATAAGCGGAAAGGATTTGGTGGGAGAGGAGAGGGAGGATGCGAGCTTCGAATGCGGAAATTATTTGTTCGCATGTAAGATAAAAATACCAATATTGGAACGTTTTAAATCATTACGAAGCATTTCCTTATTAAAAATTGAGGAATCCTCCTATTTTTTTATAAAGATATCGACTTGTATTCTCAGATTTTATTGGTATCTTTACATTGATGATAAAGCTGCAGATGAATATTATAGAAACATTATCAAGAAATTTGCCTGCTCTGACAGAATTTAAAATAAACATAATTCAACAAGATTTAAAAAAAATAATTACTGCGTAGAATTAATTTCTATTTTACAAATATGTTCTCTATTTTACATATATATTATACAATATCTAAACTACAAATTTATCACTTAAAGATATTAAATAAAAATTGACTGTAGAACAATTTTCGCCGCGGCAGGGTCGGACGAAGTGAAAAGAAAAAGTTTCCGAGAAAAAGAGATAGTTTGAAGTCAAAATGTAAAATATTTTTTGTAAATATAATAACTAAGGTATAGTACAGGATTTTTCTTTTTGAGGTATTGTAGAAAAGGACTTGAAAAAAGCCTTTTTTTTTAAATCAAAGTTTAAAAATATATTTTAAACAAATGAATTAACATATCGAAACAAATCTTATATAAATAATCTTTTTAGGAATATTCGTGCCAAATTTGAAGTTATTCGGACTGTTAGTTTCGAAGAAATGTCGCCACCCAAAAAATGATTTCAAGAAAAATGCAGAAGAAAAAAGGAAACGACTTTTATATATAAAAACTATAATTTTTCGTCTTATATGTATACTGCTATCTTTCTGAAACTTTAAACTTTGAGAAAATGCAAAAACTAAAAAATCGATTTTTTGAAATTTTCAAAGTAAGCAAATTTCCTTAAAGTTACGTTTAGTCTCAATGCACAACATATTTATAATATTTTTAATATTTTATAATATTTAATATTTAATATTTAATATTTATAATATTTAACTTATCGATGCATTTATGGGTTATCATCGTACTATACATATACTATGATTATAACTTACTTATCACATTGTGATTAGCCAATTACGAACAACGCGCCAAGTTTGCTCAATTCGTCAAACTTCAATTCGTTCTATTTTACGATGTCGCTGACGTTTTCGATGTCGTATAATCATTTTGTAGCACATATCACAGAATATCTCAGATCCTTTTTTACTTCTTAAGAGTCAAGCCATGTCCATATATTCTTTTGTGCACAGGTCCACCACCGGTTCATCAACTAATAAGGAACGATAAGACTGAAAAACCGCCGACAGTCACGGTTTCGAGCGCACCAACATTTTCGTCAGTCCTCAGGCCAGAAGATGGACACCGTGGAATAGAATCTCCGCATTCGCAAACGGGTATGTACTGGCTAATTTTCGCCGGTATTTGACTTTACGAATAGTCTCTTGACAACGCTGCGAATCACTCGATTCTAGAGTTTCTATTCGATAATTCGCATGAAGAGGGAGGGATGGCTGAAACATCTTTTACAATTGAAATATTTTTTACAAATATATATTTCAGTATTATGAAGATCCAATTATTATTATAATTGCTGCAAAGTTCGGCAATATGGACTTTTTCTATAACAATTTTTTTATAAATCAAGGTTTTTTGCGAATAATTTTTTATTATATTTTTTAAATGTTGACAATATCTGTCTTTTGAATCGCTCACGTTACTCTCATTACAAATGAGAAAATGTGGACATTATTATGATTCATATTTAACAAAGCCGTTTTAATTTAGTAAAATAAGCTTGAGTGAGTAACTGAGCGAGTAAGCTTGACAAATTACAAAAACAGACTCTGAACAGATTTTATATAACAGTAATAGTATCTAAAGCAAACAGAAACTTTGACATTATTTTAGAATGCTGGAAGAATTTTTTGTATAGTTGTAAGCTCGAGATAAAATAATTTTATTGGAAGAAAAAATTTACTTGAAGATTTACGTTGCTAAGTGTATTTTCTCACTTCGCACATGATAAGTTATGAAAAAATTGAAGTACATATTTAAAAATTGCGGTTAATAATAAATAATACTCTTGCAGATACAACTTATGAAAATTGCTTAAATCTAGGAATCTCGAAACGAGATGACACAAATAAAGGTTATACAAATTTATTAAATAACCCCTATTTCTCTGTTTTTATAATTTGTATCCTAATCAACATTTTTGAACTGTGATTAGTATTAAAAAATAAAAAAATTGAGTAAAAATATTGAAATATATGAAGAAGCAACAGGAAGTTTTTTATAATTTTACTCTCTTTTAGCTTTTTTATTCTTATGGAGATAAAAGGCTAAAGGATGATAAATATTTTATTTTTTAAATCTTCGAGCTGCATAAAAATACGAAATAATTTTTTATTTTCTTTTACACACATTTCCATCTTCTTGAATTCATAGATCACTTAAATAATAATTATATATTAATTAATTTCTTTTAAAAGAGTAACTTTTTTACTTCTAGATACTAATTGCAGTTTACAAATTGAGATTAGAATCTGAATAACTAAGAATTTAAAATTGAAAAGTCGCGTAGAAGTCGGATTATGAGTTAAGAGAAATAGTTATTTTTTTATTGTAAGATCGAAATGTGAAAATATGTAATGCGTAATAAATAATATATACATCGCATTGGTAAATATTTCTATACCAATGTTTCCTGACAAATGTTAAAAATATATAGAATTTTGATTATGATTTGCAACAATTTATCGAAGTACAAAATCAATGATCTTCATACCATCGAATTTTAATGTTTTTATAGAAGTGGGTCTTATAAAACATGATATGACTTTAAACTCCTTTTATTATTTGTTCTTTTATTTCTCTTCTTTTACTATTTTTCTCCATTCTTTTCTCCCTTTTTTTTCTTTTCTTCCTCTTTTTTCCACGTGTGTGCACGGATCTACGATGCATGTTTGCTGATTAATATAACTTTTAATCATTCAATTAATCAAACAGAACTTACCGCGTCAATTATGCTTTCAAAGCGATCGGTGCGCTTCACGTTGAGTGTAATTAATATTTTGTCGATAATTAATATTGCATGTAACGTGATAAGAAAACGATGTATCAGACAATAGACTATATGAAAAGCGGTAAGCAATGGGATAGATGCTAATTTATTAGACATGTTTTTTTTTAAATGTCCTTTCGAAACTTAACTTTTTTTTTACAAGTATTTATTCAAAACAAATAGTTTAGGAGATAATCACGTGGAAAGATAATGAGTTACCCTACTATGTAGATAAATTAAATTCAGACTAAAATCTGTAGTCATTAATAATGGAAATTTATTTTTATTTTTATATTTTTATTTATTTTATTTAATTTATTTGATGATTTATTAAATCCATTTTTATCTTTTAAAAAAAAATTTATGTTATTAATATTAAAATATTTGAAATAGAATCTAAATTACAATATCTATCTATATAAGTAGAAAATAACAAAGGGAATTCTAATTTTATTAATTAATTTTGAATAACTGTATTTAAATAACTGTATTAAAAAAAAAACTTGTGTCATAATAAATTGAAAATATATAATATAAACTGGAAAAATCAATTTAACTTTCTTCTTGCTTTCTTCTCTATAGTGATTTATTTAATAATTAACGAGCCATGTACTTTAAATGATCTGCCACTAATATATAAATTATAAGTTTCAACATATCTTTCAATTTTCGATTGAAATAATTTTATATTTTCAACTTTTAATATGCAATTATTCAAATTGATTTTACTATCAAGTGAGTAAAATGGTGTTCGATCGATGAAAAATTTTGGCGATTGGCCAAATGATTTTGATAATATAAATTTTCATTAAGCAGAAAAATTCTGTCATTATGTGAATTTTGATACAATTAAAAGATATTAATTTATAAATATCCACGAATGAACGTGCATTCTTTGCATCCTCAATATTTATAAATTAATATCTCATTAATTATTTCAAAGTTTGCAAAATAACAAAGGATTTTCCTGCTTATTACTGGTTTAATTCACTTTATCTCTTTCCATGAGAGAGATAAGATTATTACTGAATTTCTTGTATATGTTATAAGTGAGACTTTTGAATCTCTTGTATCTTAATAATAAAAAAATCTAGTAATGTTAATTGTGAAATAAACTACCAGTGAATATAAACTAATTTACAGACCTTTTGATTTTATTTATATAACACACAAATGCTGAATAAACATTTCAGAAAAGTCGAGTGAAAAATTTATAATATTGCGAATATTGAATTAAAATTTCAAAACTCAACGTTCAATTCAAAATTCAACGTTGAAAAGGCGTTGAAAAACATTGTAGAAACATCTAATCCAGTCCATTGAATCGCAATATCTTTTCAATGTTGAATTTATCCTGCAATTCAACATTTTACTGACCACGGCATATAATATATTAATTTAACATTTCGTTTCTGCATATAAACAATTTTGTGTATATGTACGCGCACGCGCATACACACACACACATACACAACTATATAAGTTTTTTTATATGTAAGGAAAATATTAAATTAACACATGTGCGCGCGCGCCTGTGTGTGTGTGTGTTTTACTTTGAAATATATTTTACTTTTAAACTTTATATATTAGAAGTCAGTTGATTAAAATAATAAAGCTCCGATAAACTAATAAATAGTATAATATTCAAATTAAATATGAAAAACATATTACATACGATATTATAATTAAATTGTAATTGTATACGTATGTTATTTATTTATTATCTTTCTTAATATTTATATAAATTAATTATGTATAAATATTAATGTATATTTAATATTATTACTTAAAAATATTCAGAATATAGATTTATTGAGACAATATTAAAAAGTTAAAAATTTATTTAGAATTATTGTATAACAATAATCCAAGTTATTGTATAACAAAATTAAGGATCAAAAATTAATATAGAAACTGACTTGTGCAATAAGGTACAAATTGTTTGTTTATTTAATGTATGAATTTTTGTAAAAAGATATGTGTCTCTTATCTATACTACAATGTATAAATATTTAAAGCTTATTAAAATCGGAAGGGATATCTTGAATATCTTTCCATGTCAATCAATACAAAACTTTCACTAAAATTTGAAGATATTCTATTTTCTGCCACTTTCAATTTGCTATTTGTACTTTTGACGTTCTTTTTGTATTTAGTAATTCCTAAAATATCGTAATACAGAATTTAAATAAAAATTGAAATATTTTATTTTTTATTGTATTTTGAAATTTTATATTTGGATCTAATTTCTGTATTTAATAGTAATTAAATTAGATGTACATTTCTTTTTTTTTAAATTGGGAATTTGAAAATCTGAAAATATAAGAATCTTTATACATATATTTACTCACGATTATATCAGTTATCGATCTTTATTAATATGTATGATACTTAATTAATATGTCGTCAATCAGATGCTCTCATTGAACGGATAAGAGACATAAATACAATCTGAATAATACAAGACGAAGAAAAAAAAATCCGTTCTGTTCTTTCGTTCTTTCGTAAAATAATTATATTAATCCGTTGCTGATCCAGTAAAGTCTGCTTTAAAAAATTATTATATCTAATTAAACATATCTAATATTCAGAGAATTATTAAAATGATAATGCAATATGTATTGTATTTTTATAAATAAATCTATATAATATATGCATATATTACATATATATATTATATATATATATATATATATAGATAGAATAATAATTGACATAAATAAATATTTCCTATTGCCTCGAAATTGTTATTTTGATAAAAAAAAAATGTTGGGCTATTTTTTCATATCTATATAAATTCATTAGCGGATTTTTATTAATTAATTTTATTTTTTCAATCGGAAATAGAGGACTCCTTTCAATTTAACTCACCGCCCGATGCATTATGAATTATAAGATGTTCTGTATACAAATGTTGTATATGAAATGCCTGTTGAGATTCGGTACATTTGTTCGTAAATACTTACAAACATTTATCCAATTATTAATCTGTTATAAATATTAAAGGTTAAATATAAAAGGTGAAGCTCTTTTATTTCCTAAATAAATATCAACGATTTTTAAAACATAAATAATGAAAATATCAACAAATTGTATTGCATTAACTTTTAAGCCTAAATAATTAAAAAGCTCTTATTATATCAAGCAACATTCATGTCAAAAGTCTAACTCTGGGACATAATTGTTATATGTTAGAAATCAAAAAGCTATACTAGAACCGTATTACAGCATGTAATTTTTGCTAAGACATACTTCAAGATTTGTCACCATTATAAAATGCGAGTTTTGATATTCTTCAATACAATTATATTATGTTACATATAGTTTCCA